AGAGGACCGCAATGTAGAAATTTTGGAATGGTTAATAGCGCGGTGCTATTATTGCATCCGTAATAAGATTTGCGAAAACGAGAGTACATGTCGAATAGGACGGCGAATCTATTTTTTTCAAAATCTAAATTTAAATCATCGTAGGGATAAAATTCCGAGTTTAAATAGAGTTTAACGTTGGTCAATTTGCAGTTATCGAACAATGTAACATCTTGTGACACCGAATTCTTTTTACCAGTTTGCAGTGCAAAGATCACGTATCGCGGTTTCTCTAGCTGGGAGGCGGCTTTCACGGTCCACGAATGTTTGGTCGTGCTATGTAACAGAGGAAATTCGTATTGATCCCAAAATCGGAAACTCATGTTCAAATATCGTCCGCTTTCCAACATTTGCAACATTGATAATTTATTAATCTCGTTCAATATTACATGAGGCATACGCCACTGTATCTTAAGTAATTCAATCTCAGCTTCCGACGACGGATGTCCGAATAGACAATTATTATCGTTGCGCGAACGTATCAAAATCAATTCGTGACGAGCGTTAATCACAACGCGTTTATAATCTTCGCAAAATCCCAGCAACATGTTGAGCGGCACGCAAAAGTTGAAATAATTTTTGTCACCGTTGTACGTCAAATCCCACGATGCATTCTTCAAGTTTATACTTTTCTGGTGCGTTAGAGAGACATAATTTTTGAGCGTCGATGTTATTCCAACATTTCTGTTGCGATCAATCTCTACTCCGTCGAGTTCGTATCGAAGCTCATCAAACATGATTGCGACGCAATTATTTCCCAATACAACCGTCATTTCATCATTCGCTTTACGCACATTAAATCTTCCCTCGATGTAAAGAAAGCTTTCGCATGGTAACGTGTATAAATCCTGATGTTGTATAAGTATTCGTATCTCGTCGCTGTATCCAAGCGTCGTATTGGCGTACGGATTGTACGTATGAGTCTCAATCTTGACAATGCGATCATCAAAGACTGGCTCACCTCCTATATTCAAAACATCAATCATTCTTTTCGTACGATGAATCCCAATGATTTCAAAAGTTCACGATTCAACGCGCTCAGCTTCTTTTTAACGACAATCTTATTATTGTCACCCGATACTGCTCGCCTTACTGCAATGATATTGTCCCGCGTAAAAGTATTGTCTCTCACGTGCTCCGTTTCGTTCAGTACAAGCATACTATGTTTGTCGCCGCCGTATATGCAATCTTATGGTAATTTCCTCTCCTCGAAAATCGAGAAATCGACCTCTTTGATCCACAATACGTATCGTTAAATTCGTAATGCTCCGTACAACGATCGGCAGATAAATGATCTGTGCCGGCGTTTCCGATATCTTATATCCTGGCGGTACGCTCGGTGAAAATTCATGTATCGTGTGTACGCGCATGCCATTGCTGTACGCACCAATAGTCACGTTGCATTCTATACGAATAATATTTACGTTTATAATATTAACAGGTTCGTCTGATTCATACCACTTGCGAGGTTGCAATATACGATTCGACGAGAATCCAAGCAAGGATCCTACATTGTCGGGTTTGGTAAAGTTTATTCTGTAGTCGCATTTGATTTCACTCTTTAGCGTACTGTGATTGGCGCGGAGCGCTATTGGATATTTCTCATCATAATCGTTTTCACCATCTCTGGAAAGGTGTTCATCTCGCAAAATTGCGCGTTTGAGATAATCATTTATGGCGTGCAATTCGTACGATCCTTCGGGAATCATAATTTCCTTGTCGTCGTTGCCAAAATAAAATTTATTATTCGAAAAATTTACGTTCGGAATCATGTGATAAGTTTCAAAATCCGTTAATCCGAGCTCGTAATCGACATCAGTCAAATCTATAGCGGGGAAATAGCTTACAGCGAGAATGCTGCTTCTGCCAGTCAACGTAAGTGTCAGTGACATGTCGAACGAATACTGAGTCATGACGATGGATTGTCAGGCTTTAAATTGATCGTTTGAAGAAATTTTAAACACAACTGTCCACAGATACTCTGATTATAACTTTGATAAGATGTGTAATTATATTCAATCTTCACTCGTCCGAAATATCGCACAAGTTCCTCGGGTGGTCGAAGATTTCCAAAACTGTCGAAATATACGACACGATCGTCTCTCTTTGCGTACGCTACCCAATGAGTACCGGGACCATCAACGTCATCCAAATTGACGATACCGCTCTCATTTCGTCGTACACCGCTTATCGGTAAATTATTGCGCATGAAAACACCTCTAAAGAAAGGTATACGCATACGTTTCGCAAATTGTTCCAATTGCACGTTAGTTGTCGCACCCGTAGGCATTTTTAATGTTTTTTCGATGTTTTTTTTTTCTCTTAGACTTTGTTGAGAATCCCTGTCCACGCTTGTACGGAGCGAGATAAAGTCCGCGACCTTCCATAGCGCGATTGTGACGCTGCATCTCTTCCAGCTGACGTTGCGCAGCCTTGCTATCGTTTACCGCCTTTGCGATTCCCGCCGCACCGCCGGCCAATGAACCGACAACTCCCAACAACGGTAAAAGTGGTAAAATACCACCACGTTTCGCTACTGGAAGTATTCGTTTCTTCCTCCTCTTTGTTGTCAATGGCTTTTTCATCCCCATGCCGAGTTTTGTCTTTGCTTTCATTGCCGCCCAAACAGTCGTAGCGGCTGCTCTTTCACCAAGAGTCGAATCCCTCGCGGTAATGCGTTCTCGCGCTCTTGCAGCTAGTATGCAATCAGCGATGTGACGTTGGTCAAGGTCGTTGCTTCGCGCGTAAGCAATGTCGTGTTCACGACACGCCGCGTCCAATGGATTGATGCCTCGATCACCTCTAGCCAATCGTTTCTCTAATCGAGTTCCCGGCCCGCAAAACTGATAACCGGGAATATGTAATTCGATGGGAAGCGCGTTTATCGCACGATTTAAGAGACCGCTACCTCTTACAATTCTCGCTGACATTCGTAGCAATCTTTTATCAACGGTGGTGGACCGTCAATGTGCGTTCGCTGCCACGGCTGGTTGTAATGTCGCATGCACGAACGATATTGTCGAACCTCCGGATCAGCCTTTATATATTCTGGAAGCTTGTCCCACAATCGTTCCACGTAATCATCAAAATTTTGAAGTAATAAAATCTTTGGGATATACTGCAGTTGTTTGGTGGTAAGCCCGAGAATGTCTCTGTCATCCGACAGAAGGAGAAACATTTTTGATACTGACCGGTTTCGAGTCGAGACACTTCTATAAATAGGTCTCCCCCTCGCGATCATTCGCAAAATTGATTCGAAAGAGAAAACATGCGGTTCGTGCGACAAGCGCGGGTAATCAAAGTATCAAATTTCGATGATAAACTAATATCGGAGAAAAAAGTACGCAAGCATGGAAACATGCTGCCGACTACTATACGCGGTATCGTTTGCGGCCCTTCAAATTGTGGTAAGACAAACGTGTTGATTAGTTTGATAGAAAGTCCGCACGGTGTACGTTTCGAGAACGTGTACGTATACTCGAAATCGCTTCAACAGCCGAAATACAAATACTTGGAAAATTTACTAGCACCTATAGATGAAATCGGCTACTTTACATTCTCTAATAACAGCGATGTCATTCCACCGAGTGAGGCGCTTCCGAATTCCATCTTTATCTTTGATGACGTGGCATGCGACAAGCAGGATACGATAAGAGAGTACTTTGCAATGGGTCGACACTCGAGCGTTGACTGTTTCTATCTTTGTCAGACGTACGCCAAGATACCTAAGCATCTTATACGCGGCAACGCGAACCTGCTGATCCTGTTTAAATAAGACGGCACAAACTTGAAACATGTGTACAACGATCACGTGAATACCGATATGTCTTACGACGATTTCCGTGCATTGTGTCAGAAATGTTGGCAACGCAAATATGGCTTCGTAGTCATTGATAAAGATAGTACGTTGATCAATGGACGATATAGAAGGGGATTTAATGATTTCGCGATACCGTAAAGCGATCAGTCATCATCGGCACATCGATCGAGCATCATGAATGGCGATCGTGAAAAGATTGCGACAGAGATTGCAAAAACGAGCGAATCAATTCGCAAAAAATATCGCGCTTTGAAAACTGGTAAAATGGAGGAAGATATCATATTGGAAAGGCAATTTAAACCGATTACTGAGCCTTTAAAACAGCTTGTTGAAAATACTGTGGAATCTGATGCGTCGAAAATCGAACCGTTGAGTTTGACGTTTGAAGAGAAGCACGAGGAAAAAATAAAAGAGTCCAAACAAGGACTAAAGCGAACACGGATAAATATGCCTGTACACGCTACGCATGTTTCTTTATTTCAGTGTTTCTTTTTGCGTTTTTTTTTTTGTGTTCTTGATCATGCGCGAGCTGCGAGTACTCCTTGGCGACACTGAGCTTGCGCCCCTGCACATCACGTATCCTTCACATGTCCTTCTCATGTACTTCGCGTGCCCGTCATGCGCTTTGCGCGCCTCGTTTGCCTCACGCCTTGAGCGCCTCAGGCGTTCGTTTAGTAGTACTAGTGTGTGTTCCTTTGTACAAGTCAGTCATGTTTTGTATGCTGTGCAGAGTTATGAATAAATATCGAGTACTGTAACATTCGGGTGTACTATTCTTCAGAATATATTCCCAGGAAAAGAAAATAGGCGTACACATACGCTACGGCACAAGCCCCCTCAAACATTGGTCCTTCGAGCCGGATACATAAAATTCCGAAAGTCACGGATTACCGTCCGTGGTGATTGTTTTTCTATCTAAGAGACGAATGCTGTATATGCGTGGACATAATATTTTACTTCAGGTACGATCTCCACATTCGTTTTTCTATCTAAGAGACGAATGCTGTGTATGCGTGGACATAATATTTACCTCAGGTAGGATCTCCACATTCATTTTCTTCTTTTATCCATTCTCACTAGTTAAGCAGCCATATTGCATTTTTTGTGAATATCGAACTATCGTTACGCGAATTTAATAAGCATGGATTTAATGTCATTATCGGAAGCTAAAGTCAAGCGAACTACCATTAAGGCAACTTTAACGCGACATAAAAATGCTATAGATAGTTTTGACGTAGATCAAAATTCACGACACGATATTAATGAGCGTAAAAGAAGATTGACAGAATTATGGGATAATTTTGAAATCGTGCAATCGCGAATAGAAATGCTCGAATATGCAGATTCTTCAAACAAAAATAAGGAAGAGCTGCTCGTTCAACAAGAACAGCAAAGAACACATTTCGAATCCATATATTTTAATATGATTTCGCGTTGTGATTCACTCATCGAATATTTCGATAAAAATAATCCCCAACCGTCCACATCACATGTGGATGGTTCGCAAGGTGATACTCACGCCTCTACACATAGGGAATCGCGTATTAAATTGCCAAAAATCGAGCTTCCAGTGTTCACAGGTTCCTATGATGATTGGTATTCATATCAGGATGTATTTGAAAAACTAATACATGCCAATGAAGGTCTCTCGGAGATTGAAAAATTCCATTATCTACGCTCCTCACTCAAGGATAAAGCAGCTGAAATTATAAAATCCATTGAGACCACCACTGACAACTACAATGACGCATGGGCGTCGGTTAAGGAACGGTTTGATAATAAGCGTTGGATAATCCATAAGCATGTACAAGCTATATTCGACGCTCCGATACTCATCAAAGAAAATCACAGTCGTTTACGCGAGTTACTAGATGCTATCTTAAAACATTTATGTGCACTTAAAGCCTTGAAAAGACCCACAGAATCGTGGGATGATTTAATCATTCATATTGTCGTCTCAAAACTTGATCCAGCAACGAGTAAGGCTTGGGAAACTAGTTTGCCCGACAAAGACGTTCCAAATTTGAAGTCACTAATTGATTTTCTTTCCAAGCGTTGTCAAGCGCTTGAAACAATTTTTAGCAAGCTGTCAACTAATCAATCCACTAATAATTCAAAATCCATTAAGTCCAAAGGGCCTTCCGTCTCAAATCTTGCTACATCTAATGTATCTTGTCCACAATGCAAAGAAGGTCATTATTTATATTATTGTGAAACGTTTCTTAAGCTACCAATAGAAAAAAGAATTTCAGTCGTAAGGAAGGCTCATTTATGCATTAATTGTTTAAGAACTAACTCACATCTTGCTAAGGATTGCAATTCAGGTGCTTGTCGTAAATGCAGTAAAAAACACAACACATTGTTACATTTACCGAATGCTGTGAATGATAACAAGGTTTCTATTGATGATGTGGCGTCCAACGAATCGACTTCTCAAAGCAAGGCGTCTACTCAGCCAATTGTCACACAATGCGTAGCAGCACATCACTCGTTGGACATCATACTATCTACAGCTATCGTACATGTATTCGATTATAAAAATGATAGACATTCTTGTCGCGTGTTATTAGATAGCGGATCTCAGATGAATTTTATAACACAAGAATTTGCTGATAAGTTGCGTATTAAGGAACAATGCGTCGAGATTGCTATTACCGGAGTGAAGGGAACTATTCAAGCTAAAAAAATGATCAATGTACATATACAGTCACGTTTTAATAACTTTAACGAAAAGGTAGAATGTATAATTTTGCCGCAGATTACTCAGCAATTGCCTCAAACACTTGTACCCAAACAAGACATAGCGATACCTAAACACATAAAGTTAGCCGATCTTAATTTTAACATACCGTCTAATATCGACATGTTGATTGGTGCAGAGTTATTTTGGAAACTTATTTGCGCAGGTCAGATTAAATCTTCCAGAACTCAGCCAATTCTACAAAAAACTCTTTTAGGATGGATTATATCTGGTCCGACTCCGAGCAATATTTCAAGCTCGAGCTCTTCAGCTTCTAATTGTTTAGCTGTAACAACAGATCTAAATCGTGCGCTCAGCCGCTTTTGGGAAATTGATCATTTAGGGTCATCTACGTTCCTTACGCCAGAAGAACAAGCCTGCGAACGTCTATTTCAGGATACCGTAAGGCGTAATAACGAAGGGCGATTCATAGTTCAGCTACCAATCAAAGTAGATAAATTAGTGAATCTTGGAGATTTCCAAGAAATAGCCACAAAACGTTTTAAGGTTTTTGAGAACCGTCTTAAAAAATCACCGAAATTACATGTGGAATATAAGCTATTCATCCAAGAGTATCTACAGCTTGGCCACATGCGTGAAGTTACTTCTCATTTGGAATCAACCCACAAGAATTATTATTTACCACATCACGCGGTATACAAAGAGACGAGCACCACGACTAAATTGAGAGTTGTTTTTGATGGTTCCTGCAAATCCTCAAGCGGAATTTCATTAAATGATACAATGATGGTTGGTCCTACGATTCAGGACGATCTATTCTCAATATTAACAAGATTTCGCACTTTCAAGTGCACCTTAACTGCCGACGTCACCAAAATGTACAGACAAGTTTTGGTAGATCCCAATCAAACCTCTCTTCAACGCATTTTGTGGCGTGACTCTATGAACGAACCAATTCGAACTTTTGAGCTTCTCACTCTTACATATGGCACCGCTGCCGCATCATTTTTAGCCATTCGATGTCTTAGGAAACTCGCCGAAGACAATGCCATCGCATACCCAAAGGGATCCAAAGTCGCTTTAAGGGATTTTTACGTGGACGATTTGGTAACTGCTGCAAACACATTACAAGAAGCGTCAGTTATTAAGTCAGAGACGTCTAAATTACTAATAGAAGGAGGATTTAAATTGCGAAAGTGGACCTCTAATGAACCCTCCCTTCGAGACAATCAATTTCTAGATTCTCAAAAGGAATTTGTTTTATCGTGCGATAAAGAAGACGAGACGCGGACATTAGGTCTCGTTTGGAAGACAGACCATTTCAAATTCTCAAATATCGCATCTTTGCCGCCATTGTCGACACCATCTAAAAGAGCTATATTGTCAAGAATTGCATTAATCTTTGACCCTCTAGGGCTACTTGGACCTACTACAGTCATCGCTAAAATCATTATGCAAGATCTTTGGCGCCTCAAGATTGACTGGGATGAATCTTTGCCCTTAGATGTGAATACTAAATGGAAACGTTATGAAGCTGAGTTACCAATGTTAAGAAATATATTTATACCACGAAGAGTCATTGCATTGGATGACTATGTCAAGCTAGAAATACATGGTTTCGCGGATGCTAGCGAGATTGCTTATGGAGCATGTGTGTATGTGCGTGTCACTGATGCCAATGGAAAACACTCTACTAGATTACTTTGTTCGAAAGGTCGAGTAGCGCCCTTGAAGGCTTTATCTATTCCACGGCTTGAATTATGCGCAGCGCTATTATTGGCACAACTCATCGACAAGGTACTGAAATGCCTGACTGTCAAAATAGATTCGGTTTACTTATGGACCGACTCTACTATAGTATTAGCTTGGCTGCAATCATGTAATCGAACTTGGACTACTTTTGTTGCTAATCGCGTTGGTGAGATCCAGCAATTAACTACTCCACATCACTGGCATCATGTCAGCAGTCAAGACAATCCAGCAGATCTTTATTCAAGGGGTGTGACTCCAACATCGCTACTTCAATCGCAACTTTGGTGGTCAGGGCCTACATGGCTAAATCTCGACAAAGGGAGCTGGCCTCAATTTCCTTTTGTCATAAACAAACAGGAGATTCCTGAATATAAGGCTACTGCCATCACCACGATCGCAACGAAACAACCTTTCGACATATTTGAACGATACTCAAATTTCTTGAAGCTGACTCGCGTGGTAGCGTACATCTTTCGATTTTTTAACAACTTAATGAGGAAGATCAAACCTTCGAGAAGTTATCCGCTACAACCTGGTGCGAATAACAGTGTTTCGCCCGATGAGATAAATCATGCTACTCAAGTTTTGGTGAAATTGGTCCAGAGATTACACTTTCCCAAGGAATTGGAACTACTCATAAAACAACAAGATCTGAACAAGAGTAGTCCTATTATACGTCTAAATCCATTTGTAGACGAATCTGGAGTTTTACGAGTCGGAGATCGGCTCAAGCTATCTTACCTTCCATACACTGCCAAATATCCAGCATTACTGCCAGGACATCATCCATTCTCACGTCTCATTATAATTCACGAGCATGAAAGACATTTTCATGCAGGCCCGCAAGCCACTTTGTCTGCTGTTCGTCAAAGCTACTGGCTTGTCTCTGCCAGAGATGTAGTACGACAAATTACACGCAAGTGTATCACTTGCTTTCGAAGTTCTCCAAAAACGTCTTCAACGCTCATGGGAAATCTTCCCAGGGACAGAATCACAGTTCCTAAACGAGTTTTCGAAAAATGTGGAGTAGATTACGCTGGTCCTTTTTATTATAAAGACGGATCAAGAAAGACAGCTAAACTATTGAAATGTTACATGGCAATTTTCGTTTTGTAACAACGGCTGTTCACATTGAATTAGCGGTTGACTTATCCACTGAAGCTTTTCTCAATGTTTTAAAGCGTTTTATTTCCAGAAGAGGATACCCTTCGGACATTTACTCTGATAATGGCCTAAATTTCATAGGTGCCAAACGAGAGTTAAGTAAATTGGCGGCATTGTTTAACGAGCAAAGGGATCAACAACAAATTAGCGATTATATGGCTATCAAAGGGATCAATTGGCATTGCATACCGCCTAGAGCACCTCATCATGGTGGGCTTTGGGAAGCTGCTGTTAAGGGAGCCAAGCGTCATCTCATTCGAGTAATCAAGGAAGCCCATTTAAGATATGAAGAATTAGAAACTCTGCTCATCCAAGTTGAAGCAATTTTAAATTCTCGACCACTTACACCTATGTCCTCTGATCCATCAGATCTCACATCATTAACTCCAGGACATTTTTTGATAGGAAGTCCGTTAACTTCATATCCTGAACCATCGATAGAAAAACTGCCAATAAATCGCTTGTCACGCTGGCAACATGTCGAACAAATACGACAACATTTTTGGCAAAGATGGACTCGTGAATATCTACATCACTGTCAACAACGAAATAAATGGATAATTAAAGGGAAATGGATAATTAAAGGGAAACCAATGCACGTCGGACAGATGGTCCTCCTAAAAGAGGATAATAACTCGCCGTTAACCTGGCCTCTTGCTAAAATAATAGAGGTACATCCCGGTGATGACAATCTTATTCGAACCGTCACCGTACGCACAGCTAAAGGCATCTATAAGCGCCCTATAACACGTTTGTGTTCTCTTCCATTTGAGATTTAATTCTAATTTTAAGTTTTTATATTTTATTCCGCGTGCGTATTTAGCTTGAAGTTATTATAATTAGTTTCAAGCTTACAATTTTAGTTATAAGTTATTCTCTCATGCCAATTACATTATCTGCAAATTTTGTATTGCGTTATATATAAAAAAAAATTTCTATATGTCGTTACATTGAAAGCGAAGGCTTTCAAAGGCGACGGTTTGTACACGCTACGCATGTTTCTTTATATCAGTGTTTCTTTTTGCGTTTTTTTTTGCGTTCTTGACCATGCGCGAGCTGCGAGTACTCCTTGGCGACACTGAGCTTGCGCCCCTGCACATCACGTATCCTTCACATGTCCTTCTCGTGTACTTCGCGTGCCCGTCATGCGCTTCGCGCGCCTCGTTTGCCTCACGCCTTGAGTGCCTCAGGCGTTCGTTTAGTAGTACTAGTGTGTGTTCCTTTGTACAAGTCAGTCATGTTTTGTATGCTGTGCAGAGTTATGAATAAATATCGAGTACTGTAACATTCGGGTGTACTATTCTTCAGAATATATTCCCAGGAAAAGAAAATAGGCGTACACATACGCTACGGCACAAGCCCCCTCAAACAATGCCGATAAACGATTCACCAATATATTCGACACCGAATCGATCAAAGCGAAGGAAGCAATTTTCTAATATGGCTACTGTTTCTACTCCGATAAAAGTACAACCGCGTCAAACAATACCATCCACGTCCGTCGAAGAAATTTACGAGACCACACCCGATTCGTTTATAACATCGGTCCGACACGAATTAGAAACGTCCGAAGGTCAGAAAACGTTCCGAGAGCATTTAGGTCCACTGGTGCAAAAATATATAGGAGATATTATGAGTGTTGATAAAAATAAGAGCATGGATTACGTCTACGGTGTTAAATTTACCAACGAAGGAATGATGCTCGGTGATAAATGTTTCGATGTAGACAAGGAAGATAATATAATTATCGATGGAATAAAATATAAGGGAACTGAAGGTATCTACGATTTGATTTTTAAAAAATTTCCCAATCATAAAAAATATACTCGAGACGATTTGCATATCAAAGTATATTAAATATAACAAATGCACATAAACGTGACAACAAAGTTAATAATCCTATTAAAACTAATAAAGGGTACAAGTACAAATATATAATTGCACCATTATTCCCCGATAGAAAGATGGGAAGAGGTATAGACGCGCCGCGCACCATGACGCTCAGCGACAACATGATCGATTACGTGCATTGGAACGATCCCAACGAATTGGTGGATCGTTTGCGATTGCTGGACACCTCGCGTCGAGCCGGCAACAATGCTCACGACAATGAAATCTTGTCAATTATCAAAGAACTTCGCGAGGCCGGCATTATTATAAATTAAACTATGCATCGGCGATACGTGTCATTCGGTCAATGTTCTCGGTACCGAAATGTCGATTAATAAATTCGGATTATCATTGGAAACGTCGAATAATTTGTACTACGAATGGAATGGATTATTGAGAAATTACGTTCGCGATAACGCTCTCTGCCAAACTACTACCGGCTTTGACGCAAGGTCGCGCAAGATTCAACGCGTAGCGCAACCGGAAGCTGATACCGACGTCGTCAACAAACGATACGTGGATAAACTTTTGAGAGATCGACAGGAAGAAATTGAGCAAAAAATTATCGCGCTCGAAACAAACGTGCAGGCGCTGCGATTAATGATGGATGAGATAAAGAATGTGTTGAGATATGCAACATCTGACTCGACACAGTAAGCGAGATATACTAATATCGCATATTAATTATGCCTCGATCAAACGTACGAGAGAACAAAAACACCTCCGAAAAGCGGCAACTAGTCGAGGAATTACATGCTCCGACGAGAAGAAATTTTCCACGAAGACGCGTCATTGTACGCGGATACGATGATCTGTGGCAGGCGGACGTGGTGGACATGCGTTCGTACTCTCGACTCAACAAGGGTCATAAATACATACTCACGGTTATCGATGTGTTGAGCAAGTATGCGTGGGCCGTACCGCTCAAGAGTAAGAGCGGAAACGAAATGTCCGAAACGATCGCAAAGATTGTAGACGTTGTATTGGAGACGATAAAGATGTCCGAAAAATTTTCAAACCGATAGAGGAAAAGAATTTTACAACTCGAGTGTGCAGAAACTCATGAAGAAACACAACATTAATCATTACTCGACATATTCCGTTATGAAAGCCTCAGTCGTGGAACGATTCAATCGTACTTTAAAAAACAATATGTGGAAAATGTTTACGTTGAATGGAAATTATAAATGGATCGACGAACTATCTCGACTCGTTGCAGAGTACAATACGCGAAAACATCGCACCATCGGTATGAGACCTGTCGACGTCACTCCGACGATCGCCGAAAAACTTTTAAATACGGTGAATAGCAACGTAAAAATTGCGGCTCCTGCAAAATTTAAAGTAGGCGATTCGGTACGCGTGAGCAAATACAAGACCATCTTTGAAAAAGGTTTCACACCAAATTGGACGACCGAAGTTTTTAAGATTATCGAGGTGCAGAAAACTAATCCCGCGACATTCATACTTGAAGATTCGCGGGGAAATCCCGTCGCTGGAGGATTCTACGAATACGAGTTACAACGCGTCGCCAATCCCGACGTATATCTCGTGGAAAAAATTTTACAAAAAAAGGGTGATGAGGTTTACGTGAAATGATTGGGAATGGATAAATCATACAACTCTTGGATCCATAAAAATAATGTGTTGTAAACATTTAAAATATGCGTATATAAAATATATATAAATATAAAAATATATAATATAACATGTACAAAATATATACATGATTATGTACAAAATATACAATAAATAAAATATATACATTTATTTACAACGGTATCTGATAATGTCCCCACGGTAGCGTATCGGTGGTATCGGGTACGATATACCGCTTGTCGTCGTACGGACACAGAGCAATTTTCGTCTCGCGAATCGTGTATACTTGGTGTAATTTAGATCGTATACACGACTGCGGACGCGTCATTTCAATCTCTTAATTCAAGCACCGCGTGTAATCGTCAAACGTTATCGTTCTCGCGACAACGCTGCTTTTGACACCTTTGACTTTCTTCGTATCCTTTTTCCCATTCACTCGTAAGGCGTACATCTTTGCTCTGAGCCCGATGAATTCGGTCATTATGGCACCGTTATTTTCGTCCTTCATCAGACCCGGCACCTTTTTATTTAGAAGCGGTATACCGTATGCATTGTCCACCGCATAATCGCTCGTATCGAATCTAACAATGTCACGCTTCATATTCTCATACACATTCACACACCTCGATGTAATATATGAGACTGTCCGTATCGGTATACATTACCCGACATTTGTCGCGATACATTGGTGTCATATACTCATGATGAAATTTTTTTTACAAACATGTCTTGGATATGTCGAGGATGCACATACCCACGTAAATCGGCTTGTAGAATTTCACCTCGAGTTTACGCAATTCCACAGCGATTAAGTTTTCCGAAAAAACGCTTCTGCTGTGGAAATTTGGTTTCGCGATCATCGCCTCTGCGCCGTATCGTCCGTCCCACTTTTAATAATTTTACATCGACACGATTGCGCACATTTTCCATCGTTTTACCAAACACCGCATTATTCATTAATTTATATAAATTTTTTTCGAAATCACTTTTAGCCAATGTTCTGAAATGTGTATTTAATTCTATATAATTTTGAAGCCAGGGAGATTGTGAAAACTGTAAAATTCGATGTATTTTTGTTACACGAAGGCCGTGCCGCGTACACTGCTGCAGGTTGCGGTAGTGTATCACGTGACGCTTCTTATCGTATAACGTTGCAAGCAGCTTGAATTCCCGCTTGCCAGGTGGTTTGTCACGTGTCGGGCAAAACGGTAGGTCAGTGTGCGCATCGTGAAGATGTTGCGGGTACTCGAGGTCCACTTCGAGGATATAGCCCGTAGGCGAATCTAGCGCGATGGATGATACGTCAAAATTTGACACATCGTCGACCCATCGAAAATCAGCATAGGGCAGCGGTTGACACATTGCCCATTCGTACAAATTATTTACATCAAAGTACATTAAGTACGATGATGGTTTCGATGGATCGTACGACTCCATGTACTTGTTATTAGCGCGAGCGTATTTACCCGAACATTGGCTCAGACCACCGCGTATACCACGTTCGATAAACATAACCATGTCGATGTCTGTAAGCAACTCAAACGTGATTTTTGTATGCTTCAACATGGCGTCCCACGTGTATCCGGGGAGAGTATAATAATACGCGGGGTCGAGTCCGTAACTTTCGATACATTTATCTCGAAAGTTTTCGAAAATGTCGGCTAATAACAAGACATCAATTTTGAGGTACAAGTCGCTATATTCATCTAGCGTCCGAATGGAGAATTGCGTCCAGACGTTCTCGTCGTGCGCGTAATCGCTCTCGGATACAGTTTCACCGGTCAAGGAACTGTAAAACGATTCGCGCGGTGGTAAACACGTATCATGCAACCTGTCGATGGAATCGATGTATTCGTACGGAAATACACCTTTTCGCGTTAACAAATTGAAATTTTCGGTAGATAAATTTTGAAATTCCGATTTTAAAATTTTGAGTTTATCTTTGTCCAAAAATGATGCCAATTTATCGAGACTTGATGCGAGAAATTTGTATGAATCAATGAAACGTAATTTTATTTGATTTTTTGATTCTTCTTTAAAATCAACACTTTTGGTAAACGAAATATATTTTTCCTTGGTTATCGGTAATAACTCGATTTTCCCTTCGAACGCTGTAGCTATTTCCTCGATAATAAAATGAGAATCGTAACCGGATAAATTGTGAAACACTATCGGAATGCAAAAAAAATCTTTATAATTTAGATTACAATTTGAGTGTGCAGGACCTCTGTACCGCCCGGTCAGATGGCAATGATCGCGAACGCGTGTATCGTCTTGCGCGAACGGTTTTTCGCATATGTGACAACGAGTGGCGTTATGGAATTTCTCCCACTCTTCGGACGTTAAATTTACCATGGGGACATTTGTTTTTAAAATATTTTTTACATGTAACGCCAAATTTTTAAGGTCTTCGGCGAACCATGCTATACAATCAACGCTACGACGCGAATGATACGCTGATAATGAGTCATCGTACGAACAATGTACATAATAAGCTAAACTAAATACCCGATGGCGTTGATATAATTTTTCTTCTTTCGTCTTGGTCAGGACACATTCCAAGTCGGCGTAGACCACAAATGGAAGCCGCTCCTTCCGATTGGGGTTGCTGAACTCGAGCCACTTGTCCTTGTCGCTCGGCAATCGGACAGCGCAGTCGTTTAGCTTTCCGCAGTCGACCGTATGGGACTGCAACTTGGCGTCCGAAAGAAAATAATGTAGACATCTGTAAAAGAAATAAAAAATTTTTTTATCATAAGATTTTTTATATAAATTATAATTTTTCAAATAATATAAAATAAACTTACCGATCGCAGATATATTTTTGAGTCTTATGTTTGCTCAGTTGCGAGCTCACGAGCCGGGATAAATTCTTGATCCAAGCGAAATGTCCCACGCTGTTGTCATCTTCAATGTACAGCAGGTTTACATGCTTGTCCCGCTTCTGGTCCGAAAGACGTATCGGGACAATGTTTTTGTCTTCGATGCCGTACACATTGATTGAAATGTCATTTGTATGTTCAAATTTTTTAATCTGATTCACAGTCATTGGAAACTCAATGTCCCGGAGATTCGGCACTGTCGCGTAATGCTGGTATGATGATTCCCGTTCCGCATTCCTTTCAGCGGGATACAGAGCGGCGACCACTGCCCACGCGAAACACGCATTGTCCTTTGATTGCACGTTAACCACCGCTCTCTTCATCATAATCTCCTGCGGTAACTTGATGTGACATCCCGCGCGCATGGGATTGTACTTGTTAATATTTACAGTCAAGTTCAGTATTCGCGACAAAAAGCCCACCCGCTATCGCGTTCCTGAAACTCTTCCAGAGACGCTAGGGTGGACTCGATAACGCGCTGTTCGTACCACTCGCGTAAATCAGATGTGCGAAAGAGTTCATAGTTTCTCGTATTCACACTTTTATTCGCGTGTTTATCACCCGACACAAATTCACCATTGAATATAGTATTCACTTTTACACTGCTGTGTTTTTTTTAAAGCGTCCTGCACATGTTCCAAGACAATGTCTTTAGCGTCATCGAGAAATTGGCGCGGTTCGATGTGATTATAGTTTATCACCGCACCAGTCGATACGCGACTCTCGAACGCCGTATCAATTTCGCGCCACACAAGTGCATTTTGACGCGCACTACATCCGGCACCCGCGTGTATGAAACGTCCATGTACCGAATTTTTCAAACCTTCGATGCGCGCGATCAGAGCAATCAGTGATTGTCGATTTCCGATCGATAATCGCGGCCGTTTGATTCGACTTTACTCTTCCAGCGACTCGGTGTACTCGTCGCATCGTTGCTCCCACACAATGTAGTTTTCCAACGAATCAAGCAAAGCGGATTGTTCTCGCAAAATTTGCTCCTCCATATTGTAACACTTGCAAAATTTAGCGTTTCTAATGATAGGTCTGATGCACTTTAGCTACTGGTGGGGTGCGTCTCTCTATCATGATTTATATATCGTCTCATGCATTGTTTTATCATCGAACATTCTAGAACGATTTCAACTTACAAAAAATTCCCCGTAGTACCGTGTGCAATTTGACCTTGATAATTTCACGTTTTGTCACGTACATTTGAAAAATCTAACGTGATTGCATCAGGGGCAGCCGTACATCGGTGCTCGATTTTAGCGCTTTTAGCTAAATCTTTGTCTGGGGATGATGCATGTTTTAACCTTGGCGGTTATTTTTTCGCTATTTGTCACGTGCATTTGAATATTTTAACGTGATTGCATCAGGCGCAGCCGTACATCGGCGCTCGATTTTTGCAAATTCAGCTAAATCTTAGTTTCGATGCAGATCTTAACCTTGAAAATTTGCCGTTTTGTCACGTACATTTGAATAATTTTGACGTGGTTGTATCAGGAGCAGCCGTACATCGGCGCTTGATTTTAGCAATTTCAGCTAAATCTTTGTTCCGAAGATGATGATGTCATCGCAGCTGTACATCGGCGCGACAAAATTTTGGAGGAAATTAAAATGTTGCGTCAGCAATAATCCCCTCTACATCACAATTTACGATACTATTTGAATTGATATTCTAATACGATTCTAATACGATTGTAGTATTGCATCAGTCGCGCGTGTGAAAGGTTCATCGCTGAAGAAATATGAATTTCTACGTTCCGATTCAAAACGGTGAAACTCCACCGTGTAAGAAGCAGAAATGCGACACGTAAGTTTAAATCGTTTAAAAAATTTTTTACTTATTGATTTTTAATATTGTTGTCTAATTATTTATATTTTTATAGTATTCAGCCTCGTCGTGCGGCTCGCATATTTGGAAGATGGTACGCTCTAACCCCGACGTCGTAAAAGTATTTGGACATTGGAATAAGCGTTGGAGCTGTATCGTACGTGGAGCTGATTCTCGGCGATAATCGAGGCAATCAAATAGTGTTACCCTTTTCGACGTGGAATTTGTTGATGCGAAAGCAAGCAGACGTTGAACAATTTCTACAATCGACTGCTCCCCCATTAAGAATTGGAGATTTAACGATTGAAATGCATCAATCGAAAATTGTAAAACTCACATTATGCGGAAATTCTTTGTACATGAAACCAGAAACGTTATTACATTTATTTAATTTTGAAAATTGTATCGATCATATGCACAATTGGTTATGCGAGGATACGTATCTCGTAAATGAAAAATTTAAACAATTTGAAACTGTATTACAACATAATAATAGTACTATTGTATGCGATGCTGTAAAAACGATACGTGAGAGTGATGTCTTTGACAGCGAATCATTGATCGATTGCGAATTATAAACATGTGCTGTAAATAATATTCTTTACGATGCGTGCAATAAATAATTATTTTTATTCAATCTATGATTTTATTTCTTTCCTTCCATATGAATAAGAATAGTCGACAATTTTTCTCAACACGCTCCGCCAAAGATGTAGAGAAATGCTGAGGTAGATGAGACGCGATGCTCTAATTGGAATGAGACGCGAGATATTAAAAAGATATATAATGAAGAGGAGTCTGCGGCATTAGAATATTATTACGTTGTTCTTTGCGTTTCGTTAGTCTTGTGTGTTTCGTTGATCTCTTATTATGGCTGAAGAAAACGTTTCTATCTTTGACAATGAAGATATGGATGATTGGATTGCTTCAGAGGCGGAAACAATTGAGATTGAGAGAGAGAGGAGAGCGAAAACTAGTGTTGAAGAATTACTTAAGTATAAGCGGGAACAACTTTTGAAGAAGAATCTGGAAACTTCAGTTGTGCAATTTATAAGAAGTCGAGAGCTCGGCATGAAAAATCCCCGCATAATTTCATTGACAGGATTTTTCAAATCTCGAAATTATTGGGTGAACTCGGTTGACAATTGTAGCACAAGTTGGTGCAGGTATAGAGAAGAAGATCCTAATCACACTGCAGTAAAATGTTATGGAAATAGATTACGTGCAGAACTTGAACAACTTGAATTATATGAAGACATAAAAAAACTCGAAGAAGCTGAGCATGAGAATAGGCTACTGCAAGACTTTGAAGATTTGAAGGTAAAAATATTTTTGTAATAATGTGTAATAAATTTAAAACATTTACAATTATTTTGTTTAATTTCAGAGTTTATGAGAGTATATGAATGGTCGACGAGAGGACCAGGAGCGGAAGTCTCTCAGCCCGACACATCGCCCCTAGTCTTCCAGGAATGACCATCCCCTGACCCCCACCCCCGCACCACCAAATTATTTTATTATAATATATTTTATATTTTGTTATTATATTATTATTATTAATCATAATTTAAGCACACACACACACACACACAAATTGTATAAAATACACACATTTTTAATAAATTTATATTTTATATTTTGATGTAAAAAAAATCTAATTATTTATGCACCTCTCCATGCGTTCCCATCCTTGCATCTCTCTTGCGTCTCTTTCGCGCTAGTTTTAAGTATCGCTATCTCTATCATACTCGTTAGTTGTAAGTCTCGCGATATTATCGTTCTCTTTCTTGTACACGTCGTCTTGGCGCTATCGTTCTCTCTTTCATATGCGTTCTCTCTCACTCGCGTTGTTCTTATGCTATTGTTCTCTCTCGCACGCGTTGTTATTCTCGATATTATCGTTTTCTCTCTTTCGCTTAGAATATACTCGTTGCTCACTTACCTTTGCGTCGTCCTTCTCCCACCTATACGTCGTCCTTGTCCCGCGTTAACGCCATCCTTGTCGCACTCGTAGCACTGTCCTCTTCACACACTTTGCACTATCCTTTTCCCATACATAGCGCTGTCCTTCTCACACCACCGTCCATCGGTTGCACCGCGGATCCCCCTTCACCTCGCTGACCCCCTCGTCCATCGCTCGCGCTGCGGATCCCCGTTCACCGCGCGGACCCCCTCGCCCATCGCTCGCGCCGCGGATCCCCCTTTACCTCGCGGACCCCCTCGCCCATCGCTCGCGCCGCGAATCCCCCTTCACCTCGCGGACCCCCTCGCCCATCGCTCGCGCCGCGGATCCCCCTTCCCCGCGGGTGACGTCACCCACGGCGCGCCGCGATTCCTCCTTCCCCGCGCGTGACGTCACTCCCCCCGCACCGCGGTTCCCCTCGCGCCTCACCCCCCCTGAGAGGACCTGAGTTAGAACCCGCCTAGTCTCACTACTAACTACTTTCCTTTTTTTTTAATGGTGGTTCATATAAGATATCCGTAGACATTCGTTGCAGTCTTCAACACCGATTTAAATACGCAACTAGCATTAATAGTGGTCGATGATAGTCTATTTCTTGTTTTCGTCTAAAAAATAATATATTATTTTTTAGACATTAAAGTTGTGTGTTATAAGACGAGGAAGGACCTGCAACATCTGCAACATCTGCAACGTCTGCCTCATATAATGTTAAACTACTTTTCTTTTTTTTTAATTTAAACTACTTTTCTTTTTTTTTAATGGTTCATATAAAATATCCGTAGACATTCGTTGCAGTCTTCAACGCCGATTTAAATACGCAACTAGCATTAATAGTGGTCGATGATAGTCTATTTCTTGTTTTAGTTTTTAATTCGGTAAGGACAGAAAATGTTCTTTCAGGATCCGCGTTAGAATTTGGCAGTGATCTTATTGCATTTACAAGTGATTTTAAATTCGGATATTTAGGATGACTAATGGATTGACGTTTCAAAATTTCCTTTCACATGTTATCAAAATTAATTTTTGAAAGATTTTGTTTCTCTTTCATAGTTAAGTCAAAATATAATTGAAACCATTATTTCTTTAAACCGTCTTGATCGAAGCCGTTAAGAGTTTCCGCGATAAAAGAAACATCGTTAAAAGATGTTTCTCTGTTATTATCAAATAAAGCTATATGTGATTGAAATACTTGTAATTTATCTAAAAATATATTATTAATAGGTAACCTCTTTCTAATTTCTTCAGCCGCAGTAATATAAAATTGCAAACAGTTTTGTCGAATAATTGTAACATTTGCGTGTCCTTTTTTCACTAATTTATAAAGATATTTTTCACATTCTGATCCTAAAGTTACGTTATCAAGAGATTTGTGATTTTCTTTTTCATGAAACCAAATATTTGTAAGTGAATGTAATAATTCTGGCTTTAAAAAGTGTTTGGAAATTTGCACAAGAAAATAAACGGATTTCGATTGTAATAAATGAATTCTAGTTTCATAAGCTTGGAAAAAAGCATTAAATGAATTGAAGAAATTTAAAACATATTTTAAAAATAAATAATATGCTTTTATATCTATATTTTCCATTAGAGATAATAAATATTCCCCAGATTTTGTTTTCTCGTTCACGACTATTTCATTAAGAAAATATTTTATCGAATCCCATGACTCAAGAAGTCTCTCAATACATTGATAATGCGAAAGCCATCGAGTATCACATAACTTTAAAATTTTGCGATTCGTATCTTGAAAACATTCACAAAATTCATTAAAAATGGCTAAACGTTTTGGACTACTGTTAATGAAACTTGCAATTTTTTTCAGAAATTCTTCGCAATATTCAGGCATCTTAGCGCATGTAGCGTGTGCAGCTAATGCAGCAGAGTGACAAGAACACAAAAATGTTAATAAATTTTTGCATTTGGATTCTAGATTTTTTTTAAAAGATAAATGTTTTCCTGTCATGACGGATGCATTGTCGCATGACAGAGTAATAATATTTAGAAATGGAATCTGTAGTTTAATCATTTCTAATTCAAAAGCTCTAAATAATTTTTCTGCGCTACAATCTTTAGCATCAATATTAATTAACTTTACTAATTGCGTTCGAATATCTAAAGTTTCAGGATCAACATATCTAACAAGAAACGTCATCCATTTTTCATTAGTAATATCCGATGTTTCATCAATAAAAACGGAAAATCTTGTATTTTGGATATTATTAACAACATGTTCCGTCTCAACCGAACATAAAACGTTGGAAATTATATTTTTGCATTTTGTTCGACCCATATTCATGCTTTTCAAGACATTAGGATCTTTTCCTATGTCTTGAAAAAGACTGAGAATCTCTTTTGCTGTTTGATGAGAGATATTTTTCTTCGTAATCAATGTCGCATATCTTATTTCAGCTATTTTTTTCCGCTCATCGAATGTCAAAAGAGATTGATCAGTTTGCGTATTTAAATCCTTATTCGACTTGTTCTCATTACTTTTCTTTGATTTTGTTTTATGCATGTCGGATTCTGCATGTCGATATATATGATGTAAACTACTATCAATAAATTTATCACAAATTAAGCAATGGCTAGTATTATCGGGTCCTTCGCATAACCATGATTTAAAATCTTGTATATCTAGCCATTGCTGTCTGAATTTTCTTTTGTACTGTGCTTTCTTTTCTTGTACATTGCTATCAGTATGTTGAAGACCTTCCCTGGTAGAAATTGAAATCGGGCCCTGACCGGGTTCCTGGCTGCTTTTCCCGATTTGAAATCGGGCCCTAGCCAACAAGCCCGGTGTGGACCCGGCCAGGGATGTAATGATTTGCCAAGTTGGGTTCCTAACTGGAGAGCCCAGTCGGACCCCGACTGCGGTTCCTAATTAGGAACCTGATCGGTGTTTTTGGCCGGGGCCTGATTGTGCTTCTGTGCTTGAACCTGATCGGGTTCTTGACTAGATTCGATCGGGCTTTGAATCACGAAACGATAATAAATTGCGAAATAATTTTTTTAAAGACATACAATTTTGAATGTATGAATTATATTTATTTTTTGTACTTTTAACATATATATAATATTAAAATGAAACAAAACAGCAATCCTTTTATTAAGGTTTTTTCAGGAACTTGTTTTTATGCAGTAAGCTTCATGGCTAAATCTCTACTTAAATATTGTTTAACCGTTCGCGTAATTGATTTTCCGGATTCTCCCGTCTGATCAACACCAAAAGTTGCAGAAGATAACTCTGAAAATGAAATTATACATGGAAAATTTGTTTGCACAATCCGTTCGAGTTTGTTAAACAATGTTTGCTTACAAACTATTCCTGGCATCTTTCATTATTTGTCAATGTTTTATTGAGAGCTTTTAATTGTTTCAATATTTAACATGGTAAAGTTGAATTATATTTTACTATATGACAGCAATAAGTTCTGTCATTCTTTTTGCTTGTAAATTATTGTTTTGTTGGAGCATCATCACAACGTCTGTCAACTGATTATGGATTATATACTTTTAATGTGGAATCCATATCATCCACTTTTTATTTAAGTATTTTTAGATCTGTAATTTATAAATATATATATATTTTAATTAATATTATATAGAGTGTCTAATATTATTACGTGAAACATCTTCTATAAGTTATATCTTATTATACTAAGACTATACTTCTATAAGTATATCTATTTTAAAATATACTATATATTATCTGGTAGAACTTTGTCTTTGTATTTACTATTATTTATGAATACGTCCAAAGCATCTGAGCGATCCAAATTTATATTCACATTAACGATTGGAATAGAGATTCTTTGGTAAAAAATAAAAAATTAGTATGAGATTATAAAAAAAAAAGAAAAAATGGAAATAATAAACATAAATCCACTGAAAAATGTTATCTTTTCATATATACACACGTGATTTTTTAGGTGGTTAATTTTTTTTTACCAAATTCTTTGTTCATTTTATTCAGCCTAATATTTTCGATTTTGCAGTCATCTTCACTAAAAATTATTTATAAAGAAAAAAAATCTTAAAGTATCAAAAATTGTTGTAATGAGTAATTCGTATTTTATATATAATCTTTTTTTTTTGTAGCCCTTTATTTTCAGAAATTATAGGAGTATGAGAATGAATCTACAGTTTTTTTGTCAAGTTACTTAAAAACGTTTCTACAAAAATACAAATTAAAAAATACTTTAACAAATGACGATTTTGTGTCAAAGGAAATAAACTGACATAATTATAATCTACATCTATACATACCATAAATATTAAATGATTTGACCGTATCCAGCAGTAATATTACAATCTCATTTTTTTAAGACATTTTATTTTAAAGTCTCTTTCAAAGCGTGCTGTCTTCTTCTGCTTCTGTTCTTCTGCTTTCATATCAGATGTAAACGCATGTTTTTTTTCTGCAGAATATGTAACTTTTCTATTGCATCTGAATATGTTTCTAGATTATAAAATAAAATTTTTATTGTTTTATTTTTTGTTCAATAAAATATTT